GGTGTGATTATTCCGAGCCTTGCTTTAGGGGCTTTGACTTGCTTCATTTGTTGGCATCCTGCATCTGCTGCGAGAACAAGCCTAGGCTAGCCTGCTAGAGGATGAGTCATCCCAGATGAGGCAACCTAGATCAGCCAGCACCCTGCCAACACACCAGCATGAGCAAGGCCAGCCAGATCAGCTGAGCCCTACCTGGCTCAGTCAAGCCCAGCATAGGTTAGCAGAGCCCTGCCTGGATCAGCTGAGCCCTACCTAGATCAGCTAAGTCCCAGCCAATCTATAGTTTGTGAAATATAATAAATGATTACTGTTTTCAGCCACCATATTTTGAGGGTGATTTGTTACACTGTTGATACAATAGGTACTTGGGATCTCTCACTGGCTGTATGTGACCTGAACATAAAACTGTACTACCTCAGGGCTGGGCACCACCTGCCAAGATTCCACTGTGGATCCATTGCTCCCTCTCTGGGAGGTGGTCTTGGTTCTCAGGGGACAGAGGAGACTAAGTAGCTGGCTTTGGAAAGGAGGAGGGAACAGTGAAGTCCCCAGGATGAGCCAGTCCTTGCATATGAATTGGGTGAATAAAAGAAAACCGCTCCAGCCCAGAAATTCCTTTTAAAATTTAGTTTTTATTTTCTTTAAGTCAAAGTTATAGAGGCACCTGAATTAAGAGCTCAATAATTTGATGTGATGTTATAAACTCTAGTCGGTCTCTGCCTGTTCCTTTCTCCTCGGTTTCAGATCCCTAGACCCAAGACTCTCAACTTAAAAATGCATATTAATCCCTCTAAATAATACGTGCACATTTCTGTTGCCTCCCCTCCATGGCAGAGGTAGCTCCTATGACCTCCTTCCCTCCCCCCAACATTTGCCTTCTCCTTGACCTTATATCCCAGTATCCTTAGGTCATAATTTGGTGAAATTAATACTCACTTTGTACTTGCCACTGTGACTTTGAAAATGCTATTCACCACTGAACTATGTAGAAAATGGTGCCAACTTCGACTTTTCTTGCACAACTTTTCTCTGCATGAGTTTCTTAGGGATCGTAGTAAGCCCCAGGGTGGAGTGGGGTGGGGTGGGAGAGGTATGTTTTTAACTCTTCACTTGCCCCATCTCTACTTCTGAGAGAGAGACAGAGAAAGAGAGACAGAGAGAGAGAGACAAAGACAGAGGGACAGAGATGGAGAGACAGAAACAGAGGGACAGAGAGGCAAAGAGAAGATAAAGATAGAAGGGCAGGCCTGAGGCCTTTCGGGATCGAGGAAGGCCTCTGTCTGGGGGATAGATGGCTCTCAGGCCACGGGTTGGCTTCACTTGCCAGGGAGGGCTCCTGTGGCCTCTGGGCTGTACCTGTGTCAGGCTCCATGTGTGGCCCGGTCTCCCCCAGCGCTGGCTTCCGCATCATCGAGTGACTCTCACTTTGCTTCCCCCATTGGCTTCCTCACATTCCCCCATTTCAGAAGGGCCCAGTGACGGGGACCCCAGATGGTACCTGGGTTTAGGAGAGTCCAGGTGTGATGCGAAGGCGACTGTGACCCTATTCTGTTCTCCCTGGCTTCTCCATCAGGGCCTAGTGGCGAGGAGTCATGGTGGGTTCAATGCCGGGGGGCCTGCCTTGGAGATTTCTGAGTGAGGAGGCTGCCAGGAGACACCTTGGACTTGGCCATGGTGAAGAGCCTGATTCTGGCGTGTGCCCGCGGGCAGTTTCTGTGTTGCAGGGGCCACAGTCTCATGCACAACAGGGACCAGAGGGCTACAATAGCAGGAAGGTGCTGGGTGCTGTGGTCTGGCTGTGGCCTGGCTGTGGCACCCAGCATGAAGAGCCCAGCTGGTCTGGAGGACCATGGGGTGTGACCTGTGGGAGATAAGAACTCCCACCCACACCACAAGTGGCATGCAGAGGCTTGTGGTGGCTTTATTCATTTATCAAAACCTGGAAACAACCCACATGCCCTTCAACTATCAGACAGTAGTCAGTCTACGGGATGAGATACTACTCAGCAAGAAATAGGAGCAAACTAGTGATCTCAGCCTTATGGTGATTTCACTTAGGATTTTTGACTTTATGGGGATGTGAAACCACTGCAGTTTCAACGTACAGCTGTGGTCCTCAACTCCTGGGCTGTGGCCCGGTACCAGTCCATGGCCTGTTAGGAACCAGGCTGCCGAGCAGGAAGAGTGAAGCTTCATCTGTATCTACAGCTGCTGTCCATCACCAGCATCACCCCCTGAGCTCTGCCTCCTGGCAGATGAGCAGCAGCATTCAATTCTCATAGGAGCACTACTCCCACTGTAAACTGTCCACGGGAGGGATCTAAATTGTGTGCAACTTATGAGAATCTAATACCTGATGATCTCAAGTATTGGATATATAATGGAGATATAATGTGCTTGAATCATCCCAAAACCATCCCCTAAGCCTGATCCATGGAAGAACTATCTTCTATGAAACAAGTCCCTGGTGCCAAAAGGTTGGACCACTGACTTACAGTAGTCAGTCAATTACGGAGGCTGGCATGGTGGCTCACACCAGCAACCTTAGCACTTTTAGAGAATGAGCTTTGAAAATCCCTTGAGCTCAGGAGTTTAAGACCAGCCTAAGCAAGAGCAAGACCCTGTCTCTACTAAAAAATAGAAAAACTAGCCAGGAGTTGTGGTGGGTGCCTATATTCCCAGCTACTTGGGAGGCTGAGGCAGGGGGAGTGCTGGAGTCCAGGAAGTTGCTGTGAGCTAGGCCAATGCCAAAGCACTTTAGCCTGGGAAACAGAGGGAGATGCTGTCTCAAAAAAGAAAAAAATTACAAAATATTCAACACTTATGATAAAACAGGCTGTGTGTTATGATTTTGCCAACTATAGAATAATGTAAGAATGTGTTAGGTGCATGAAATACATTTTCTTTCTTTTTAAAAAAATTATAATCAGTACATAATCGTGATGTGTTTTCAACTTTAAAAGATGTTTTCAATTTACGGTGGGTTTATCTTAAGTCGGGGAGCATCTGTACTAACACGTGTACCAACATGGCCGAAGCCCAGATGCAGCCGGCTAAGTGCAAGGAGCCAGACATCAAGGGCTACACACTGCGACCGAGTTTGTCCCACGATCTGGAAAAGGAGGAGAGAGTGCTAGACACAAAACAGAGGAGCTGTTGCCTGGGGGTGGGAGGAGGCGAGGGCTGCAAAGCTGGGGGAGGGAATTTGTTTGGGTGGGTGGAAATGTTTTGTGTCTTCATGACTGGAGTGGTCACGCAACTCTGAACGGTGTGAAAAGGCGAACTTTACTGTATGTAAGTTATCCCGCAATACCTGGAAAAAACCCTCCAAATGAAAGACAACCAAAAATTATGGTTAGGTCAGTGTTTGGGTGACGCTGGGCAATTGTCAGGGTGAGATGGAGGAGGAGGAGGAGGGGGGGGAGGAAGAGTCAGGGTGCGGCCAGGGCTGAGATTCAGGGTGGCCCCACACAAGGGGTGAGTATGAACAGACTGTCCATATTCTCTGTATGAGGCCCTCCCTGCCCACTGGGAGCCTCCAAGGGTAAGGCCAGCACGTCTGGTACATTCTGTGGGGACACTGGGCAGGCTGCCAAGGAGAAGTCCCCCAAGTCATACCCTCTTTCCCCTTGTGGCCCTTTCCCCTGACCAGAGGAGAGGGGACAGAGAGGGGGCCAGGCAAGGGAATGGAAGGCTGAATGTCACAGCTGGCTGGGCTGATGGCTAACTCAGCCTGATCTGCCAAATGGGGACAACGGTCCACACCTCGCAGAGTTCAGTGAGGGACAGATGAAATCACCTTGTGAGGTCACTGACCCCGTATGGGTGTCCACTTGGAGGGGTGGTCACAGTGGCAGGATTTGAAATTCCTGACTGACTTCTTATAAGCTGTGTGACCTTGGACAAATGTTTTAACTTTCTTTTTTTTTTTTTTTTTTTTTGGGACGGAGCCTCAAGCTATCCCCCTGGGTAGAGTGCCATGGCATCACAGCTCACAGCAACCTCCAACTCCTGGGCTCAAGCGAGTCTCCTGCCTCAGCCTCCCAAGTAGCTGGGACTATAGGCGCCCGCCACAACACCTGGCCATTTTTTGGTTGCAGCCATCATTGTTATTTGGTGGGCCCGGGCTGGGGATTCGAACCTGCCACCTTAGGTGTATGTGGCTGGCACCTTAGCTGCTTGAGCCACAGGTGCCGAGCCAAATGTTTTAACTTTCCTGGGCTTCATTTTCCTCAAGGAAAAACTGAGATTTTACGGTTCCCTAAAAATCACTGAGGATTCAGTGAATATAAAAACCTCTGGCCCATAGTGAGCTCTCAGGAAGAGCTACCCCCTTAATATCCAAAGGTTGCCAAGACTAGAAAAAAATAATAGGTTCTGCATTACTTTGGAATAATATACAAATAATGAATATTTTTAGCATAAGTATGTCCCATGCAATAGCTGGGATATACTTATACTAAAAAAAGTTTTCATGACACTATTACAGAGTGTTCGTTATTATCTGAGATTAAAATTTAACTGGATGCTCAGTATTCCTCCTGGCATCTCTACTAATGGGGGAGGTGGATTTGGGATAACAGGAGGATGGGACTAAGTGTGAAGGTGAGTGGAGGGTGAGTGATCTGCTCTTTAACCTTCCCTGTAGCCAGAGTCACGCCTGGACTTAACCTGGACTCTCACCTCCTTCAGGAAGCCCTGGCGATGTGTGAGTCTGTGCTGCCTGTTCAATCCCCTGTCCTGCTTTTGTTCAGGCCCAAGGCTGCCAGCTGGTGTCACCGTAACCCACTCCTGAGCCCGGTGGCTGCTGGACGTTCTGGAGTCATTTCTCATGTGTGAGCGTGTCCCCGCGGCAGGTGCCGGGGCAGGGTGGTCCCACAGGCTGTGGGCGCGGCATGCACCCTGGAGCCTCCGCACCGGAGGCTGGTGGCTGAGTGGCGGCGGTGCTCTTACATAATCGGTCTCTCTCCTCCTTTCTCTTTCCAGTGCCAGATTTCACACTGAGCAGCTGCAGTCGGAGAAATCAGAGAAAGCGCCACCCAGCCCCAGATTCCAAGGGGCCTGCTGGGGACTCTCTCCTCCTCCTCTTCAGGAAGGGAGACCCTGAGGCTGCATCTCAGACCCACTCCTGGGCTGCCATGGAGCTCCCAGCTGCCACCCCCCGGCTGTCCTCCGTGCTGCCAGGCAGATAAGGGCAGCTGCTGCCCCAGGAGCACCTGCCCTCCCTGCTGCCTGGCCATTCCTCTACGGCCAGCCCTGCCCTGACTTGGTGGCCACCCTTTGCTGAGCCAAGGCCATGTAGGCCCCTCTCGGGCCTCCGTGGAATCACTGCTGGGGACAGTGCCTCTGCTCTCCGGGGACCCCAGTGCACCACCATGCCCCGGGGCTTCGCCTGTCTGCACTGTGAGTACGGGGGTCCCTGGGGATCTGCCCCTGGAGGCCTTGGCCCAGAGCTAGGCTCTGTGGTAACCATAGCAACCAGAGCATTCTTGCTGGTGAGAAGATGAGATGCTTCCCAGCTTGACAGGGGGTGTCCCCGGGGACTCCCATGGCCACGCTCTGTCCTGCTTGCAGCTGACCCCAGGCTCTGATGGGCAAGCAGGGCAAGCTGGCTGTGAGGGTCGGGTCAGTGGGCACAGCCTATGGGGTGGCTGCAGAATAGGGCAGGTGGCATCATCACACCTTTCCTTGGTGGGGAGAGTAGTGGCCAGGAGAGCATTTCCAGCCTCCCTGGGTGTGGCCAGTGGGGGTGGGGCAGGTATGCGTCAGGAACCAGAGTCCCTAGGGGTACCCAGAGAAGGCACCTTGCTCCCCTGTGCACTTCCCTCCATAACAGAACAAAATTTAAAAGCAGAAAGGTAAAACTGTTGTCAGGAACAAGAAAAACAAGTTGAAATGAGGACAGAAAATAAAAGGGGGACCTGGAGTCTCTCATGCCTGCCGGGTTGAGAGGCCAGACCGAGATCTCTTCAGTCCCCAAAGTGCAATTTAATTGATTCCAATTCAACACGGTTTTCTGGTGCCTCCCACGTGCCCGCTGGAGAGTTAGTGCCATGACAACAGGGACCTTGTCTGTCTGGTGCCTCTGTCTCCAATGCCCGGCATGGAGCTAAGCATTCAGGAACCACTGGAGGTTGGGCTTTGAGCCTGTGAGGGACTCCAGGAAGAGTTGGGTCCACTCTGGCTCTTGGATGGACAGGATGTGGCACAGGGTCAAGACATTCAGGATGGGTGGGAGGACCCAGCTGGGCCTAGTGTTCCAGAAGCACCCAGGTTATGAGCAGGGGAAGCAGTGTGGGTGAGGTACTACTGGGAATGGCCTCACTGTGGGGTGGTGTCCATGTGGGGCCACCTGGGGAGGTGTGGACAGTGCTCCAGGCAGAGGGAAGAGCATAGGAAAGGCTCCGTGTAGGCTGGTGAGAGGCCAGTCTGGAGAGCTGGTTTGGGCTCAGGTGGCAGAGGCCTCGAAAGCCTGGCAGAGAATGGATGGCACACCCGTAGTAGGAAGATCCCAGGGGTAGCGAGCTGTGTGGGAGCATTGCAACTGTGTGGACAGGAGGTGCAGTGAAGAGGAAAGGGGAGGGGGAGGGGGAGGGGAGGAAGCCCCAGGGGCACACCTGAGGACCTAGCAGCACTGGCTGGGGACAAAAGGGACGGAGGTCACAGATTAGGGCAGGGACCACCACCAGGCAATGTTTTCACATGGTTTGGGAGACCAGATGCCCATGCTCCCTCCGGAAGGCTCTAGAGGCATTCCTGGCCTCTTCCACCTTCTGAAGGCTCCTGGCATTCTTTGACTTGTGGGCAGCATTGCTGTGACCTGCCTCTGTCTCCACATGCCTCTGCATGTCCCTGTGCCCTCTCTTCTTACGGGGACCCAAGTCATTGGACATAGGGCCTTCCCTAAATTCAGGATGACCTGAAGATCTTTCACTTTGGTCTGGTGTGGTGGCTCACACTGGTAATTCTAGCACTCTGGAAGGCTGAGGCAGGTAGATTGCTTGAGCAAGAGTGAGACCCCCAGCTCTACTAAGAAGAGAAAAAATTAGTCCTGGCATCTGTAGTCCCAGCTACTTGAGAGGCTAAGGAAAGATCACTTGAGCCCAGGAGTTTGAGGTTGCTGTGAACTATGATGCCACAGCACTCTACCCAGGGTGAGATTCTGTCTCACACATATACACACATACACACACGCACAAAAAAAAGAGAAAGGAAAAGATCTTTTACTTAATGTCACCTGCAGGGAGCTTCTTTCTAAACACCTGATGTTCTGGGTAAATGTAAATTGGTTATAAATCTTCAAGCCATTACATAGGCCCAGATTTGGTCCCTAGGGCTAGGGTGTCACGTCTCATTTATTGTTGGACAAAGGGGAGGGGAGGGAGCAGACCCACCTCTGCCCCCTATTCCAGGCCAGGGAGCCCAGCAGAGGGGTCACTGACACTTCCTCAGCCTCCTATTCTGGCTTATGGGTCCCTAACCCTGGAGGAAGGGGGCATGGTGGGCCTCCTGACCAGGGTTAGGGGTTGCTGTGGCTGTGGGGCTCCTGGGCTGCAGAGACTGCGAGTGACAGTGGCCTTGAGAGTGGCTTAAGTCTGTGCTGTCCCTGCCTGGTCCCCTGTTTATTGGACTGTTTCTCTGAGTAGAGGCAGCTGAAAAGAACTTAAAATTAGGCTTGTGGCTGTTACAGATTTAGAGGAAGGCTGCCCAATGTTGGGGCAGGTAGACCATCTATTGATAGCATTTGGGAGGCAGCCATGTGCCTGCCTGTGCCAGGCTGAGTGTCCCTCCAAGACAGGATTCCTGTCCTGAGGGCACAGCTGGTAGGCCCTGAGGGCTCCAGCACAGGACACAGACAAGGGCGGCTGGTATAGGATAGGGGAGGAGTGGGCAGCCAGTGGCGATGGCCACTTCAGAAAAAAGACCTGGTGTGGACAGACACTGAGTTTTAAAAGATGAAAAGTTGGATTTCTATGTGAAATCCCTGTGCACTAGAGGTGGCCCTTGCTTGAGACTCCAGGTTACAACAGTCACTCAGATCCTTGGTTCTCACAGTGTGGCTCCGGAGCACAGCAAACGTTCACCTCCTAACTGGTTAGAGAGGCAGGTTCTCTGCTCCACCCAGACCTGCATCTGAGACTCTGGGGCGGGGCGGGGCTTTGTGCCTTAACCAGCTCCCCAGGGGCTTCCGATGTCTGTTCCCACTTCCTCTGCTTGAGGCAAATCCCCAAATGTGCATGTGACATGCTCAGGGCCTGGACAGTGCTATGGTTAACCATATTGTGGCTTCACATACTGAGGTCAAGGTAATGAATGAACTGGGTGGGTGGTGCTAGAAACAGATTGGTAGGGGGCTGGCACAGGCAGGGGAAACCCTGGGACGGGGGAGGAAGGGTCTCAGTGGGGCTTCAGAAGAGGTCTGCCCTCTGAGGAGATGTCCTAGGGGCAAACGCTGGTTCCATTTGTGTTTATCTGTGCCTTGGGCCCAATGCTGTGTCAGGCCACGGGAAGGGAGAGGGAAGGAGGTAGACCAAGATGACCGCAAACTTAAAACCTTGCAGTAAATGTGGTTATCAGAGTTCTGGAGCATGAAAGGGCTGGCCAGCTGCTACCCATTCTGGGCCCAGGACCTCAGGACCTGAGTTGAGTGATGGGTCCCAAAGGAGCAAAGTCTAGGCAGTAGGACAGGGCAGGGCGGGTCTGGAGAGGAAGGTGGGGACCAGATGGTATGGCCCCAGCTGGTGGGGCTGTAAGTACAAAAGTCTTCTAAGTGCCAGGAAGTGAGTGGGAAAAGTCTGATCAGTAATTCATACTGTCAAGGGTGGATAAGGGGAGTGACTCAGCCCGCCTGGCTATTTTTGTCAAAGTAAATAAATAAATGAACGTGTGATTATTTCTTTTTGATTCTAACAATCATAAATATGGATTATAGAATATGAAAGATATCCTACAAATATTGAAAAAAAGTTTTGAAAAATCTCCCATAGATAAGGCCAGGTGAAGTGGCTCATGCCTATAATTCTAGCACTCTGGGAGGCCCAAGCGAGGGGATTGCCTGAGCTCAATAAGTTCAAAAACAGCCTGAGCCAGAGCGAGACCTTGTCTCTAAAAATAGCCAGGTGTTGTGGTGGGTGCCTGTATTCCTAGCTACTTTGGAGGCTGAGGCAAGAGAATTGCTTGAGCCCAAGAGTCTGAGGTTGCTGTGAGCTGTGACACCACAGCACTCTACTGAGGGTGACAAAGTGAGAGTCTGTCTCAAAAAAAAAAATAAATCCATAGAGATTTAGTACATATTTTTCCACCATATTTTCCAAGCATACATGTATATAATGAACAAAATTAAAATCATGCTATGTACACAGATAGTGCTGAATCGTGCTGTTTTTAAAGTTGGCTAAGCAAATTGTGAATTTTTTCCTTCTTTGACAAGCGATTTTCATTGGCTACATTTATTATGATGGAATGCCTAGGCCACTTACAGATTTTTCCTGTAACAAAATAATGCTGCAGAGTACATCTTTGCCCACAAATCTTTTGGTTATGCCTCTCTCTTTCTTTTTCCTTCCAATTTATTCCTAGAAGTGAGTTTAGTGGGCCAAAGGGTGTCAACATTTTTAAAGCTTAGTGATTTGAAGGGTGTGGACATTATTAAGTCCATTAATAACAAAAATTGCCAAATTGCTTTCCAGGATGAGAACATCTGCCTCTGAACTTTGTCAGTCAGCATCATCGTTAAAAAAAAATAAGCTGGGTGTGGTGGCACTCACCTGTAGTCCCAGCTTCTCAGGAGACCAAGGCGTGAGGATGGCACCAGCCTGGGCAACATAGCAGGGCTCTTGCTCTCTATAGGCGCGCACACACACACACACACACACACACACACACGAGTGCATGCACATGTACCCACCCATGCAGACACACACCCTTTCTGTTTGGGTAGATGAAAAATGGCATCTGATTGTTTCATTTTGCATTTTTAAATTTTATTCTTATTTCAAATTAATACGAGGGTACAAATTTTTAGAATACATAGTTCTCACTTCCAAGGTAAAGTTCTAGTTGTAAAAGAACCTCTCCCCCAGGGGTACACCCCTGCATGGTGCATATTAGGTGAGATGCATCTGGTTGTTTTAATGTAAATTTCTTTTCTTTTTTTTTTTTTCTTTTTGAGACCGAGTCTCACTTGGTCACCCTCAGTAGAGTGCCCTGGTGTTTTAGCTCACAGCAACCTCGAACTCTTGGGTTCAAATGATCCTCTTGCCTCAGCCTCCCAAGTAGCGGGGACTATAGGTGCTAGCCACAATAACGGCTATTTTTAGAGACGGGGTCTTGCTCTGATTTAGCTGGTCTAGAACCCCTGAACTCAGGCAATCCACCCACCTTGGCCTCCCAAGTGCTGGGATTACAAGTGTGAGCCACCGCACCTGGCCATGAATTTCTTTATCTTACCAGGGAGTTTCACCTCTTGGATATGTCTCTGATCCATCTGTTTTATTCTTCCTACTCTGGTGGGCTTTACTCACGTTTGTGCAAATTCTCTTGGGGTTTTCTAAGTCTTTTCAAGCTTTCAGAAATCACAAAAGGTGTTTTTGAAGTGATGGTGCCTCCCAGTGGTAGAAGCTGGTAATGTTTCTAAAGGCAGCGGCTCATGGGTTGCAGGTAAAATGCCAGAGGGAGACGTGTGCTTAGCATCCCAGAATGGCCACACTGGGAAGCACTGCAGGCTGACTGGCACATTTAAGTAAGAGGGATGTTAAGGTCACATAGAACTGTGGAGAAAGTGACTTGAGTGACCAAAATGTCATTTGTAGAGTTGAAACTAGAATCTGTATCTCTGAATCTCTTGATGGAAAATCCAGCAACAGGCTTTGAAAATATATCACCCCTGGATGAGGGATTTTCCTGGTGGGGAGGTCGTGCTTGCCTCATGGGCAAGAGTAGGGATGAAACTGGAGACTGACCTGGGGTGTGCCTCCCAGGGACTCTGCCAGTCAGGGCTGGGGGGACATGGTTGGGCGGTGCTCACCTGCTTGTCCTTGCTGCTCTTCCCTGGCTCTGCCTGTCCCATAAGCTCTTGTAACCCACGCATGAGGATGATAGTCATGGTCAGCTTTGTACGCTGGGGGCAGTGTGGATGCAGCACACGGGCTCAAGTGTTCCTGCTGGGTGTGGTTCACAGATCTTGTAATCCTGCTTGGCGTGACCTTGAGGAGCGAGGGTTTGGAGGTGAGGTCCTTGACCCAGAGTCAGGAGTGCACTGTCACCAGCTCTCTACGGGACAAGCTGCAGTACAGGAACCGGCTTCGATACATGGTAACCCCGTGGGCACCAGCTGTGTCCCTGCTCCTTAGCCCCATGGCTCACCTGGCACAGGCTTCTAGGCATTCAGGGCCCTTCCTAGTACCTGGGTCAGTCCCAAGCTTACTCTAGCCCATTTCTGTGCCTTTGTCCAGCACACAACCCAGGGACCTGGTCTGTACTCACTGAGTCTCCGGCCATCTCCCAAGGGCCTCCACCCTCTCCTTGATCTGACCTTTGGCCCCACCTTCACGTGGCACTTGCCTTGTGACTCAGGAATGGACTCTAGGAGCTCGTGGGGAACCTGAGATAAAGAACTAGAGGAGAGACACCCACGTGGCTCTGTACGTCTGTATTTATTTAGAGACAGAGTCTCACTCTGTTGCCTGGCTAGAGTGCCGTGGATCACAGCAACTTTAAACTCTTAGGCTTCAGCAATCCTCTTGCCTCAGCCTCCCAAGTAGCTAGAACGACAGGTGTCTGCCACAACACCCAGCTAGTTTTTCTATTTTCAGTAGTGACCGGGTCTCACTTCTTGCTCAGGCTGGTCTGGAACACCTGAACTCAGGCAATCCACCCACCTCGGCCTCCTAGAGTGGTAGGATTATAGATGTGAGCCACTGAGCCCAGCCTATTTTTTTTTTTTTTTTGAGAAAGAGTCACTTTGTTGTCCATGGCTAAAGTGCCGTGGTGTCATAGCTCACAGAAACCTCAACCTCTTGAGCTCAGGTGATCCTCTTGCCTCAGCCTCCTGAGTAGCTGGGACTATAGGTGCCCACCACAACGCCCAGCTAGTTTTTCCATTTTTAGTAGAGATGGGGTCTCACTCTTGCTCAGGGTGGTCTTGAACTTCTGAGCTCAAGCAATCCATCTGCCTCGACCTCTCAGAGTGTTAGGATGAGCACTACATCTGGCCATGTTTCAAAAAAAATTTTTTTTTATTAATTTTTTTTTTTTTTTGAGCTCAGGTCTGGCATTGTTGCCCCGGCTGGTCTCAAACTCTTGGGCTTATGCAATCCTCCTGCCTCAGCCGCTGAGTAGCTGGGACTATAGGTGTGTGTTACCACCCTTAGCTATCTTTTTTTAAAAACAGATTTATTGAGACATAACGTACCTGCCATACAATTTAAAGTGCATAACTCCATAGTTTTCAGTATGTTCTGAGTTGGGTAACCATAACAAGTTTTAGAACATCTTCGTCATCTCAGGATAAACACACCTTTCTTGAGGTAGAAAAGGATGTCCTTACCCTGGTGGGTGAAACTTCTGCCTTGGTAGGAACTATACGTTTTATTTTATCCTATGTCCCAGAGGAAAGTGAGATCCCCTGTGAGGGTCCCATCTCTGCCACCATAGGGCTGGGCCTAGGGTCCTCTTGTCCCACATCAAAACTCCCCTGGGAGGTTGGGAAGCCTTCCTAAATCATCTCTGCCTCCGAACTCATGCTTTGTTTCTGTGCCTCCCTCCCCCCCCCAGAAACACTACTTCCCCATCAACTACATGATCAGCGTGCCTTACGAGGGGGTGTTCAGAATCGCCAACATCACCAAGCTGGTGAGAATCCTGTCCTGGGCTGTGGGCCCCAACCCTAGGGGCACCCTGGTCTCGGCAGGCTGTGCTGCTGACCAGGGGCCATTCCTCACCCCTCAAGCAAGTCTACCCTTAGCCAGGTGTGGGGTTGCCTGCCATCCATGGCAGACACCCTGTGTTTTGCTCGCTCTGCAGGGGTGAGTCTCTGGGAGAGTCACCGCTGCAAGGTCTGGGCGTTGCATTCATTTCTCATGTCTTTGCAGCACAGGGCCCGGGTGAGCGAGCGGGAGCTGCGCTATCTGTGGGTCTTGGTTAGTCTCAGTGCCACCGAATCCGTGCAGGATGTGCTGCTCGAGGGCCACCCATCTTGGAGTTATCTGCAGGAGGTGCAGAGGCTGCTGCTGGATGTCCATCAGGGGTTCAAGGTGAGCCATGCAGAGGCGGGTGTGCATGAGTGTGAGTGTGTGTGTGTGTGTGTGCATGTGCTCTGGTGTGCTCTGGATCCTGGGCAAGTCCTTGAACCCTCTGACTTTGCCTCTGCCTCATAGGGTCCCTTTGAAGGGCCTGGGAGAGAAGGGGGATGGGTGGAGCACAGGAGACTTTCAGGGTGGTGAAAGTATTCTGTATAATATGCTAATAGTTGTCAATGCTAATATGGCATCATGTGTTTGTCAAAACCCAGAGATCTGTGCAACATGGAGGGTGAACCCAAATATAAACTATGTACTTTAGTTAATTAGGAAAAAAAAAAGTCAGGTGTATGGCTCATGTCTCTAATCTTAACACTCTGGGAGGCTGCAGCAGGAGGATCCTTTGAGGCCAGGAGTTGGAAACCAGCCTGAGGAAGAGACAAACCATGTCTACTAAAAACTGAAAAATTAGCTGGGTGTTGTGGTGAGTCCCAGCTACTCAGCAGGCTTGAGGCAGGAGGATCGCTTGAGCCCAAGAGTTGGAGGTTGCTGTCAGCTATGATGTGATGGCACTCTAGCCAGGGCAATAGAGTGAGACTCTGTCTCAAACAAACAAGCAACAAGAAAAAGAACATTTAAAACAGTTTTTTATAGAGATGGAGTCTTATTTACTGTGTTGCCAGGCTGATTTCAACCTCCTGGCCTCATGTGATCCTCCCCCCTTGGCCTCCCAAAGTGCTGGCATTAGAAGCATGAGCCACTGTACATGGTCATGCATTGTTCTTTTTTTTTTTTTTTTTTTTTTTTTTGAGACGGAGCCTCAAGCTATCCCCCTGGGTAGAGTGCCGTGGCATCACACTCACAACAACCTCCAACTCCTGGGCTCAAGCGAGTCTCCTGCCTCAGCCTCCCAAGTAGCTGGGACCACAGGCGCCCGCCACAGCGCCCGGCCATTTTTGGGTTGCAGCCATCATTGTTGTTTGGCGGGTCCGGGCTGGGGATTTGAACCCGCCACCTTAGGTGTATGTGGCTGGCACCCTAGCCGCTTGAGCCACAGGCGCCGAGCCCATGCATTGTTCTTATACCACATTTTCCCCCCTTGTTTTAAGTTTCCTTAAAAACATACAAAATAGGGCAGCACCTGTGGCTCAAGGAGTAGGGCGCTGGCCCCATATGCCGGAGGTGGTGGGTTCAAACCCAGCCCCAGCCAAAACCCAAAAAAAAACCATACAAAATAAAAACAAGGTCCTAGATGAAGACCTTGGAGGCTGTGCTGGGGAGGGAATACATTTTATAACATAAAATTGGCCATTCTGACCATTTTTAAGCATATAATTCAATGGCAATAATTATAGTCACAGTGCTATGCAACCATTGCCACTGTCCATTTCTAAAACCTTTCCAAAAGCCTCTATGAAGTGGCTGGGCTAGGGCTGGCATTTGGAACTCCTCCCCCTATGCCCGCAGGAAGGGGAGAAGTAGGTCCCAGGCCCCTGGTCACAGGAAATCTGTCCTCCTCCTGTGATTTGGAGCAGCTCGGGCCAACAGCCCCCTGTGGTGCACCACCATCTTGTCACTGGTCCTGACGGTCTCCTCCCTTCCAGGATATGGAGGTCAGCCCCAAGGTGGAAGCAGTGTTGTCCCTCCTGAATGCCCCAGGGCTCAGCCGGAAACTGGTGCGGCCCAAAGCCCTGCTGGACAACTGCTTCCGGGTCATGGAGCTGTTGTACTGCTCTTGCTGTAAGCAGCTTCCAGAGGCCTGGGATGAGGGTAGGGGCTGGAGGGAGGCTGGCGACTGGGCCCAGGTCAGCAAGCAGAGCTGGTGCCCTTCTGGGCCTGTCTCTGTTCCCCAGGGCTACAGGCCACATCTGGGAGCCAAGACAGCCCTGGGTATGGGAACAAGAACATGTGGCTTAGTCTGGTGGAGATGGTAGTTTGGACCATTCTTACAGTCTTATCCTCTCTCACCCTTGCAGGTAAACAAAGCTCTGAACTAAACTGGCAGGACTGTGAGGTGCGAAGTCCTCAGCCCCAGGGCTCAGAGCCCTCCTCGCAGTGTACGGTCACCCAGCTGTACCCTGTACCCCAGCAGCCCCCCACCTCCCTGCCCCAGTCCCTGGGCTCAGAGGAGCTGGTCAGGGCACAGGGCAAAGGCCTCCTGCCCTGAGCAGCCTTATGGTGACCCCACTGGGGCAGCCAGGTGAGCTCCAGCTGGGCCTGAGACTTGGAGGGGTGGTGTCGGGCACCTCCTCCCCTGAGAGAGAACCCCAGGGGGGTTTCTTTGAGGGAATTTTGTGCCAGAGCAGGGCTCAGCTGCCTGCCTTCTCTACCCATCATGGTCACATCTGGAGTGGTGAGAGGCTGGGGAGCCCTGCAGGTGGCACCTCCCTCGCCTTCCCTCTAGGTGGTGCTGTGTCCTGTTGACAGGGAGGCACACCTGGGCCGTGGGTGGGAGCGGGGTGCTGGTAGAAGGTGGAGACAAATGCCACATCTTGCCACAGTGGATGCTCTTCCAGTTTCTTTTATTTTTTCTATTAAATGTGCACCTTTCTTTGGTTTGGTTTGTTTTGCATCTGGGAGAGTGAACCTGGTGAGGCTGGGAGTGGCCAAGTGCAGGAGATGGGAGGGGCAGGGCTGGGGGTTTGGATTTGTGGCTTTGCCTAGCCCCATTAAGCTTAGGGGTAACTTCTGGGGGTGTCGGGCCATCCTCCCTCCCTCCATCTGGCTGTCCCCAGCCAGCCTCCAGCAGGGACACAGCAGAAGCCTTTCAAAGAACCTAGGCCGAGACCTGAGACCCTGGGTAAGCAAGCCCCCAGCTTAGCTCTCAGAGGGGTGCAGGGGGTGGGGGTGGCAGCCCAGAGAAGCCAGGCAGAGGCAGAAAGTTAATTACAGTACGACTTTATTAATACTGGGATCTTCACAGTGCATTTGTTACTTGTAGCAGTGACTATTTAAATCAAGGGAAGGATGGAGTGGAGGGGGTGGGGTGGGAAGGAAAATTTATCCAAAAACTGACAGAAAAGAAACAAAATGGTTCAGATGGGAATGGGACAGAGGGTGGAGAGGGTTTAGAGGAGGGAGAGGAGAAAGGGTGAGTAGGGAGCAGGAGGGGTGGCCAGGGCTTGGAAAATAAATTAAAAAAAGGAACAAGTTAACAGCACCAGAAAAGTTACTTCAGTCAAAAGATGCTTTTGAAAAGAATTTCTCTGTACAAAATGAAAAATGAAATGAACGTAAAGAGGTCCCCCAAACCAAAGTTTGTGACAAAGGATGGTTGGCTTGGATCCCGGGGGGTGGGGGGGTCGCTAAATCCAGGAGAAGGTGGTGGAGGGGCAGGTCAGTGTGGGGACAGCAGGTTAGAGAGTGGGGAGTATGTACAGCCCCAGGTCTGGGGAGGTGCGGGGTACTGTCACGCCTGCCCCTCCCTGGAAGCCCCCTCCCATCAGGACCTCTGAAGCCCAGGGTGTCCCCCTACTACTGTGGTGCCACCTCCTGCCCCCCCTGCGCCTCACTGTTCCCACCACACATCTTACATCCTGCTCCATCCACCCATCTGGGCAACCCCTCAGTGGAAATCCCCTCCCAGAGCTCCCCCAACTGGTCACCTGCTCTACTGCCCCTAAACTGGGGCTCTAGCATCAGCCTGAGCTTGGTGGGCTGTGCACTTGAACCCAATGATAGGTAGGGCCTGTTCTCTGTCAGCATTGTCTGCTGGAGCTCTCTGCCTGCTGGGGCATCCTTGGTGCCCCAGACCCATCTGTCACCCTGCCAGGACCCTAGTTCATGGCACAGAACTCGTAGGACGTTCAGCCTGGGAACAATACGACCTTACTCTATATGGACCCAGGACAGTCTGGTTTCCTGACCCGAGGGGGGCTAGGCCCTGTGGCCTGTATTCCTCCAAGCCCCGCTGCTTTCTCTCCTGACCTGTGGGACCTCCAAGAACCCCTCTGCTTGCCTTAGGCGCACGTGCTTTTACCTGCTGAGACTTGGCGTGACTTGGTACCTGGGGAGGGAGGGCAAAATCCCCTTTCCCCCACAGCCAGGACAGGCTGAGCTGTGGCAGGAATGCCATAGGAAGGTGTCTCCTCTAGCAACAGAGAGTCCAAGCCAAGCTCCCCAGACTTGCTGCTGCCTGGCCCTGTGGCCTGCGCAGACCCAGCAGACATGGGGGCCCCTGGGACCCGAACAACAGCTTCCTCTGCATTTGGGGGAAGCCAATTCTACCCTTCCCTTCCTGCCATGGCCACTATGGGGGGCCTTCCCAGACACACACCCTGTATTGTCATCTTGCTCACGCACAGTCCTTGTCCAAAGTCACCTCCCTCTTATTTTCATAAAATAAACTCCCACCCCCCTCTACTGCTCCAGCCTTCACCCCCCCAAAAAGTGGCTAAAACCATGACCAGAAAGTGCCACCAAGTTAAAGTATCGACATGCCCAGATAAGAACCAGACATCTGAAGACAGCCCCGAGGTTGGCCAGACGACCTGGCCTCGGGCCTCTACCCTGCTGTCCTAATTTCTGGGGGAGCTGCCCTGTCCATGCCCCCTGCAGCCAACCTCCTGGGGAGGGGAGGCTGCAGTGGGAGCCACCTTAGGGCCCCCAACCCCTCAGGTAAGCCCCCTGCATTTCCTCCCTGAGACGCAACCTGGGCCCCCAGGCTCCCTTTCCCCATGGTGGGCCTGGCCTCCCAACTTCCACCTGCACAGATACCTCAGCCGACTGGGCCCCTGGTCCCTCCACAGCCGCCCTGCCTCCCAGTGGACAGCAACCTGGGGAGGCAGAGAGAGGGCAAGAGGGAAGGAGGGCACTCAGGTGAGGGTGAGAAGCAGCGGGGACAGGTGGCCTTGCTGTGGGTCCCAGGTCAGGTGGGGCTGGGATGGCCAGAGGGAGGCCTGCTGGCCCCTCTCCCATGGGCAGGGGCTGTGGCTCTGATGCTCACTGGGGTATGGAAGAGGCAGGGCCTGTACGGAGGAAGGGGACAGAAAAGTATAAAATGGGCTCCAGCCCAGTCCCAGGCCCACAGGCTCTGTCCTGGCAAGGTTGTTAAAGAGGTCACCTCCTGTTTAAATGCTGGAATCCAAGCCTGGTGTCTCTTTCCATAGAGTGGCTCTGCCTCTTCCCTGGCCCTGCACTCTCTCTTGGCTGTGCCTTCGCTCTGAGCAGCTGCTGCTCACAGGCCAGGCCACCTGCTCACATGGAGGCCAGAGAGGGTGGGGAGGGCGGTGCCATCATACAATGCGGGGTGCTGACCTGTCATTGGTGACGGTCCTGCGGAGCCGGACCCCACGCCGGATGGCCACCAGCATGTCTTCAGCTGGGGGGTCACTGGTGGCAGCCGGAGGCGGGGTGGGTGTCTCCTCTGAGAGGGTGGCCGACAGGGTGGTGGGGAAGGGGAATTGGCCCTCGCCCAGGGCATGGGCGCCTGCCACCAGCTCCCCCAGCTTCTCCACCAGGCTGTGCCGGTTTGCAGCCAGCTGTTGCTGCTCCTCGTCCTCAGCTGCCAGCCCAGACCCCGCTCCGACCCCTGGGTAGCTGGCTGCCTCTGGGGATGGGCTGCCCCAGGCCGTGTTGGGCAGGCTGAGTCTCTTTGGGGAGGCCTTGGCGAGGTCTGCAGCCAGTGGGGAGGCGGCCTCATCAGTGTAGAACACACACTCCTCGCTGCCTGCCCGGGTGGGCCCCACGTAGCCGGGGGAGTCGGGCACCGTAGGTGTCTTCACTGGGACGATGGGCGGCCGGATGGGGATGGGACCGGCGCTGGACAAGGCGCGGCGCACGGTGGGCTTGGTGGAGGGTGTGCGGCGAATGGTGGCCACGCCGGGGGGTGCGCCAGAGGGCAGGCCACTGGCTGTTGGCAGCCCTGCAGTGGGCAGCCCAGCGGTAGAAGCTGGGCGCTTGGTCTGGATCAGGCGGCGGTAGTTTTGGGCGATGTTGCTGTTTCTCGGGATGGTGGATGACTTGTCAAACTCAGGAGGGCCCTCGCTGTCTGCATCCCCGTTCACAGAGTAGCAGTCATAGTCGGAGCCTGGGGACACAGCACGAGGTGAGCCCGGGTGTCCCCTCGCCCCCACGCTGGACACAGAGAGGGCCCTCTTGTGTGGCTGAGTCCCAGCTGTCCCTGGTAGGGCTGTGAAGAAGGTTCAGGGCCTACCTTGGGATGGGATGGTGTCCTCGGAGCATGAGGGAGTGGTGGTCTGCGTGCTATAGCCACTCGAGTACTGCAGTGAGTCTCGGCTGCTCTTCTGGTGCTCAAGACTCAGGCCCCGGGTCAGCACCATAGCCAGGTCACTGGCTGCAGGGGACACCTCCTCACCGTGCTAGGGGTGGCAAAGTATAGGTTGAAGCCTTGTTCCCCACTGCCTCCTCCACCCAGACTCTAGGAAGCCTTGGTGGGAGCTGGCCCTGAAGACCACACGCTGGGCCTCCTGGCACTGACCTGGGAGTGAAAGAAGGCACTGGCAGGCTACTTGGGGAGCTGCCCACCTACCTTGGCTGCGATGGTGGCAGGGGACATCCGGGGTCGCGGCACCTCCTCCCCACTGGGGCCCATGGTGCCCCCGCTGGCAGGGCCTGGCTCTGTGTCTCGAAGGAGTTCCACCCGGTCCTTCCTCCGCTGCAGGGTGGTGACTGACGGCTGCTCGTGAGGGCCGGCCTTGGACCAGTCCTGCAGGGTATAGCAGCCAGGTCAAGGCACCCTTGGCCCTGCTGCCTATGGCGCAGGACCCCTCACTGTGGCTGAGGATCAAGGTGTCCAGGGGCAAGATAGGGTGTCCCAGGAGGGACCAGATGTGGCAGTGTGGGGAATGACCAGGTGGTGCTCAGGTGGCTGGTCTCACAAGGACAGGCTGACCCTGGGCCCTCCCTGTGGTGATAAGTCCTGGGGCCGGGCCGGGGACACTGACCGAGGTGGGGGAGCTGCACTCGCTAACGGACTGGCAGGTTTCCGAGGCCTCAGAGGACGCAGAGCTGGAGGACTTCTGCCATGCAGAGGCGAGCAGGTGGTTGCACAGACAGACATGGGCCGGCGGGTGGACAGGGCAGGAGGCAGGGAGGAGAGGAAAGAACAGTCCTGGTCACAGTGCCGGCATGCAGGGGCCAGTCTGACTCAGAGCCTCACCCCACGCACCCCTCGGGGCCATGGCTGCCGAAAGTCCACAGCAGAACGCAGCAGCCCAGAGCACACACATGACACTGACCACCCTGTGGTCCAGCCTCAGAACCACACATTCTGAGGACTGACCACAGGACTAGCTTGACAGCCTGGATGTGGTGGGCGCACAAAAAAGACAATAAGGGTGGCAGCTGGATGTCTGGTTTGTGTAGCTGGGTTGATGGTGTCACAGTTTTCTCAGAAAAGTGATGGTAAGGGGGAAGTACAAAGTCCAGAGTGCCACCCAGCACACGCTGAGCTGAGCTGCCTGTTAGGTCTCTACACACAACACAGGCAACATGTTTCCAAGCCTGGAGTTCAGGGAGAAGTTGGGTTGGAGCTGTCAATGCAGTGGTTGTGGGGCAGGGTGAGGCTACCCAGGCAGCAAGTGTAGTTAGAGACCAGGACCTGGCCTGCAGGGCACTGACACTTAGCAGCTGGGATGAAGAAAGAGACCAGCAAAGGAGCACAGGGAGCCACCAGAGGAAGGCGAGAGCCACAAGCAGGCGACGGTACCAAAGTCAGGACAGACGCCTACCTCGGGGTTGGGGCAGCTGTGCCGATGCTGTGAGGCCCATCAGCTGAGGGCACAGGAGGGTCCATGTAGACCCCGAGGAGGCTGATTTCAGCAGAATGGGCTGGGGGAAGCCCATAGAAGGGTGGACTGAAGTGAGAATGGGCAGCAGGGTGGACTCAGTGCCCTGGGAGGAGCCCCACACTCCAAACAACCACAGAGAATGAAGAAAAATCAGTGTGGGCATATGTGACAGGCAGGGTTCCAGGGCTGTGTGTGGCAGCGTGGAAGAAGGGGAACAGTTCTACAGAGGAGAGGGTCACAGAGTACTGCTCACCCCACGAGCTGAGCTGGAGGAACTAGAAAGGGATCAGCACTCACTTTAAATTCTCCAAATCATTTTTTTTTTTTTTGAAACAGAGTCTCACTCTGTTACCCTGGGTAGAGTGCCAAGGCGTTATAGCTCACAGCAACCTCAAACTCTTGGGCTTGAGCAATGCTCTTGCCTCAGCCTCCAGAGTAGCTGGGACTAAAGGAACTTCCTTAATCTGATAAAGAGTATCTGTAAAATTATTGATGCTTTTCCCACTCAGACTGGAAAAAAGACAAGGAGGCCTAGTGGCATCATGTCAATTCAGCACTGGAAGTCTTAGCCAGTGCAATAAAGTAAGAAAAAGCAAAAGGAGCTGAGCATGGTGGCTCATGTCTGTAATCCTAGCACTCTGGGAGGCCAAGGCGGGTGGACTGCTTGAGCTCATGAGTTCAAGACCAGCCTGAGCAAAACTGAGACCACATCTCTACCAGAAATAGAAAAACTGAGGCAAAAGGATGGCTTGAGCCTGAGCTGGAGGTTGCTGTGAGCTGTGACACCACAGTACTCTACCCAGGGAAATAGCTTGAGACTCTGTCTCAAAAAAAAAAAAAAAAAGCAAAAGGATTGGAAAGAAAAATGATCATGATCTGCAAATGACATAATTGTGTACATAAAGTCTATAAAAGAATCTACAGACTATCAGCATTAATACATGATTTTAACTAGGTTATTTGATAAAAGGTTAGAAAAAAAAAATCAACCATATTCTAAATACCAGCAGCTAACAGAAAAAAAATAGACCCTAAAATGCCAATATAATTTATAATAGGATAAATAAACATCAAATACTAGGGAAAAAAATCCAACAACAGATTGCACACAATCTTATACATGAAAACCACAAAACATGGCCAGGCACGGTGGCTCACACCTGTAACCCTAGCACTCTGGGATACCCAGGTGGGTGGATTGCCTGAGCTCATGGGTTCTAGACCAGCCTGAGCAAGAGTGAGACCCCATCTCTAAAAACAGCCAGGCGTTGTATCGGGCACCTGTAGTCCCAGCTACTTGGAGGGCTGAGGCAAGAGAACTGCTTAAGCCCAAGAGTTAGAGGTTGCTGTGAGCTGTGATGCCACGGAACTCTACCAAGGATGATAAAACATCACTGAAAGAAGGTAAAGCTTGAGTAAATAGAGAGACGTCTGCAATTCCAGTCAAAATCCCAGTTTTTTTTTTTTTTTGTGGGAATGGAGAAACTGATGTTGAAATTTATATGGAAATGCACAAGGCCAGAAACAGATAAGGTGATACTGAAGATTAGCAAAGCTGGAGGACTTTAGTTACTGATATCAACATTTTCTATGTAGTTAAAATAATTCAGATGGCACAAGGACAGATAAGTCCACCAGTGGAACAGAATACAAAGTCCAGAAATAGCCACACACATGCAGGCACACCTGATTTATGACAAAAGCAACACCATGGGAACGTGGGTAAAAGGCGATGCTATTGGCTGAATGTGCCCCCAAATTCACATGCTGAAATCCTCATACCCTAAGAGGAGGTATTAGGAGGTGAGGGCTTTGGGAGGTGATTAGGTCCTGAGGGTGGAGCCCTCATGAATGGGTTCAGTGCCCCTTATAAAAGAAGCCTGAGGGAGTTATTTTTGTTTTTTCTTTGAGACAGAGTCTCACTATATGTAGACTGCTGTGAAGTCACAGCTCACAGCAACCTCAAACTCTTGGGCTTAAGTGATTCTCTTGCTTCAGCCTCTCAAGTAGCTGGGACTACAGGTGCCTGCCATGATAGCCATATTTTTTTTTTTTTGTATCTTTAGTAGAGATGGGGTGTCACTCTTGCTCAGGCTAGCCTCCAACTCCTGAGCTCAAGCAATCTGCAGACCTTGGCCTCCCAGAGTGCTGGGATTATAGGTATGAGCCACCACGCCCCAGCCTACATTTCTGTTGTTGATGAGCTAGCCAGTTATATTACAGCAACCTGAACGGGCTAAGAAATGGTCCTGGGTCAGCTCAAAAATCAGTATGCAAAAAAGGATCCCTATCTCACAACGTACCCCACTGTCACCCTACACATAAATATAACTCAATTCTGGGTGGTGCCTGTGGCTCAGTGGGTAGGGCGTTGGCCCCATATACTGTGGGTGGCGGGTTCAAACCCGCCCCTGGCCAAACTGCAACAAAAAAATAGCTGGGCATTGTGGCAGGCGCCTGTAGTCCCAGCTACTCGGGAGGCTGAGACAAGAGAATTGCCTAAGCCTAGGAATTGGAGGTTGCTGTGAGCTGTGACGTCACAGCACTCAACTGAGGGTGATAAAGTGAGACTCTGTCTCTAAAAAAAAAAAAGCAACTCAATTCCACACAAGCTGTGGTTTAAATAAAAAAGGTAAAAACAAGCAGAACACAAAAAGCGCAAACAATTTAAAGGATGGATAAACTGGGTTATACTACTAAAACTAAGAACTTCTGGCTATTAAAAGACCCCATTAGGAGAGTAAAAAGGTACCTATAGCATGAGAGAAGGTAACTGATGAAAGACTTGTATCTACAAAATATGAAGAGTTCTATAAGTCCATAAGAAAAAGACAGACAACCTAGTGGGAAAGTAAGCACAGGATTTGAACAGGTCTTTCACAAGGGAGGATATTCAAATGGTCTTTAGAAGTATGCAAAGTAGGCCAGGCATGGTGGCTTAGGCCTGTAATCCCAGCACTCTGGGAGGCCAAGGACGGTGGATCACCTGAGTTTAGGAGTTCCAGACCAGACTGAGCAAGAGGGAGACCCCCATCTTTAAAAATAGCCAGCGTTGTGGCAGGTGCCTGTAGTCCCAGCTACTCAGGAGGCTGAAACAAGAGGATCGCTTGAGCTCAAGTGTTTGAGGTTGCTGTGAGCTGCGATGCCACAGCACTCTACCAAGGATGAGAAAGTGAGAGTTTGTCTCAAAAAAATAAAAAGTATGAGAAGGTGGCTGCATGCAGTGACACATGCCTATAGTCCCAGCGACTCTGGGAGGCTTTGGTAAGAGGAACACTTGAGCCTAGGTGCTCAAGGCCAGCTTGGGCCTTTTTAATAAAAGACCCTGTCTTAAAAAAAAAAAAAAAGTACAAAATTGATGAGCCTGAGCAAGAGTGACACCCTGCCTGGGTGGTGGCAGGTACCTGCTTGCGGTCCCAGCTACTCAGGAGGCTGAGGCAGGAGGATTGTTTGAGCCCAGGAGATGAGCCACTGCCTTCTACCTGGGGTGATAGACAGTCTGTCTCAAAATAAAAAAAACAGAGGTACAAAGAAGGTGTTCAAACAGGGTGCAGTGGCTCACATCTGTAATCTTAGCGCTCTTGGAGGCCAAGGTGGGTGGATTGCTTAAGCTCATGAGTTCGAGACCAGCCTAAGCAAGAGCAAGATCCCATCTCTACTAAAAATAGAAAAACTGAGGTAAGAGGATCAGTCAAGCCCAAGAGTTGGAGGTTGCTGTGAGCTATGATGACGTCATGCACTCTACCGAGGGCGACATAATGAGACTCTGTCTCAAAAAAGAAAAAAAAATACAGGGTACTATTACTACCATAACCAGCATGTATCCACCAGAATGGCTGAAACAGAAAGGATGCAAACTACGAAGGGCTGGTAAGGAAGTGAAATAGCAATAAACTGTCATAATCCTGCTAAGTTGGCAGGATAGCTCTGGACAACTGTTAGGACCTAGCAACCCGGACACATGTGCATATTGTGACTCCGAGATTCCGGCCCAGAGTATAGACACACACAGGGCTGCACAAAGGACGGTCACGGCAGTGCTATGAGCAGCACCACAGCCGGAGTGGCGAGTATCCCAATGTCCTGAAAATGGTTAAATAAACTGTACATGCACACGACAGAATGCCGGGCAGCAGTGAGAGTGACACGCACCTCCGCCTGAAACTCGATGAGTGGGATGAACATCACCCCGAGTTAAAGCAGCCAGCCACAGAGCACCCACACTTTATGACTCTACCTACATGGAAAAGGCAAAAGGAGTCTGGGAGGACAGTGGTTACCCTCTCAGGGTACTGCAGTGATTGAAGGAACGCTGGGGACTTCTGGGGTGATGGTTGTGCTGTTCTTTGTTCTTGGTACTGGTTACATGGGCATGATGTATTTATGTCCCTACATGTACAGAATAATTCAATAAAAAAGCTCCTTTTTTTTTTGAGACAGAGTCACAAGTGTTGTCCTGGGTAGAGCCTTGGCATCACAGCTCACAGCAACCTCCAATTCTTGGGCCCAAGCGATCCTCTTGCCTCAATTTTTCTATTTTTAGTAGAGACGGGGGTCTCGCTCTTGCTCAGGCTGATCTTGAACTCATGAGCTCAAGCTACTACCTGCCTTGGCCTCCCAGAGTGCTAGGATTACAGGGGTGAGCCACTGTGCTTGACCTAGGGTCTCACTCTTGTCGCCCTGGGTAGAGTGCTATGGTGTCATAGCTCATAGCAACCTCAAACTCTTGGGTTCAAGTGATCCTCTTGCCTCAGCCTCCTCAGTAGTTGGGACTACAGGTGCCTGCCATAACGCCCAGGTAGTTTTTCTACTTCTGAGTAGAGACAGGGTCTTACTCTTCCTCAGGCTGGTGTTCAACTCCTAAGCTCTAGCAATCCACCTGGCCTTGGCCTCCCAGAGCACTGGGATTATAGGTGTGAGCCACTACGCTCGGCCTCATTTCCTGGTTTTGAGAATTGTTTAGTGTCCCAAAGGACATCAACGTTAGGCAGACTGTGAGAGAGGCATGTGGAAACTATTCCTTTTGTAACTTTTCCAAAAGTCCAAAATAATTTCAATTATAAAAAGTTAAAAAAAAAAAAAACCAACAACCCTCAATGGGTAAATAGCAAAGAAAAGAAAAACTAGATTGGAAGATAGACCTGAAGAAGTTATCCAGAATCTATGTGAAAAAACAAGGAGATGGGAATGATGAGTTAGTTAAGAGATGCAAAAAGACAGAATGAGGTGGTCTGACACACATTTAATTAGAATCCCAGCAGGAGAGGGCAGAAAGAATAAAAGAGAGAATAAAGACAATGGCTGAAAACTCCCAGAACAAATGAAAGACGCGCATTTTATAGTTTGTACCAAGGGAGGTTAAAATAAAAACAAATGTACATCATTAGATGCATTGTAGCAAAACTAAAGGAAAGCCGTAAACGTGGCCAGAGGGAGATGTCAGATCACTTACAAACATCACTTACAAGGGGCAACAATGTTACTGACCACAGACCTTTCAACCAACAGTGAGAGCCACAACAGTAGAAAAATAGCTTCAAACCGTGGAGAGACAATAACTTGCCACCCTGGAATTGTGTCCCTGGCAAAACTAACTTTCAAGAAAGAGGATGAAATAAAGCATGTCTATAAGTAAAATGAAAACCCAGAGTTTCCTATTGTGGACTTATTCTAAAAGAACTTCTGAAAGATGTTCTTTACTTCAGAAAGAAGGAATCTAGGAACCTGACCTTAGAAGGTCTATTTGAGATGCAAGAAAATATGACAAACAAACGTATAAACATAGGGGTAGATCTAAACAAATACTGTATGCATAAAATAAGAAGAAGAACAACGTCAACTGTAGGCACTGTTAAAAAAAAGGGAGAAGGGAGAAAGGGGTGGAGCCTGTGGCTCAGTGAGTACAACCCTGGCCCCATATACTGAGGGTGGCGGGTTCAAACCTGGCCCCAGCCAAACTGCAACAACAAAATGGCTGGGCGTTGTGGCGGGTGCCTGTAGTCCCAGCTACTCGGGAGGCTGAGTTAAGAGAATCACCTAAGCCCAAGAGGTGGAGGTTGCTGTGAGCTGTGACAAAATGAGACTCTGTCTCTTAAAAAAAAAAAAAAAAAGGAGAGAGTAACATAGGACAGCTTTTGAGAGAGTGGGTGATTGAAGTTAAACTATATTAAGGACCTTGAATTATTCATGAGGTGGGGATGTGATTTTGCTAAGTATGCATGGTAAAATTTCAAGGTAACTTGTAAAAGAAAAGAACTATAGCATAATTTGCAATCCAGTAGAGGGGAAATACGAGAAAAGAAAAACAAAAGGCAAGAGAAAAGACAAATGTAGCACAGAATAACAAGAAAAAAGGTGTAAGTCCAAATATGTTAGTGATCATAACAAATATAAATGGATCAAAAATGCCAATCACAAGATAGAGATTGTCAGATTGGGTAAAAAAGAAAATCTAGGCATATGCTGTTTACAAGAGACTATCTAAAATATAAAGATATGGTGAATTTAAATGAAGAAAGATGGAAAATGATGATATAAATATTGACTAAAATAAAGGCCCTGGGGACCTCTATGCTGGTCTCAATAGCTGTTGTGGCCCCAGGCACGGACATTCTGAGACTGTGGCAGCCCACCCCAGCAGTCGTCTGGGTGCCCCCTCACCTGGCTGGTGATGTCTGAAGGCATGGGCGAGGGGGGCTTGGAGTAGGTGGCATCCTGGGAGACGAAGCCAGAGTCATGGGAGGAGACGCTGGAGAGGCGGGTGGTGGCGGTGGCTGGCTGCGCCAGGCTGCGGTAGCGACAAGTGGAACTGGGTGAGTATGTTTGGGCACCCCCTGGCCACGGGGCTCCGCCACCCTTGGCACTGCTACTGCTGCTGGGGGCACTGGGAGGGTGGGGTGAAGGAGGAGGGCAGAGCAGTCAGACAGGGAGACACACAGGAGTGTGTTTGGGAGAGGATGACAGATGAGGGTAGGAGAAAGACGTGAGGGGCAAAGGAAGGAAAAGACAATGTCAGACTGGAAGGTCCCAAGACCCAGGTACTACAGAGGAGCTGTGTTCTGAGATGGTGTGGCAGGGCAGGGCTAGAGCAGGGGACACTGAGCCCCTGCCCCTGGAAGGCCCCAGGGCTGATGGGTCTATGGTCAGGACATGCCCAGGATGAGTTAATCTGTCTCGTACTCTGTCATTAACAACAGTGTCCTCAGTTTAACCGTAGGGAAACTGAATGAGGTGTCAAACCATTAGAACCAGACACAGCCAGATCATATCTAAACTGCCTTCTCAAAGTCTGGTATTTGCCATTCAATCCTAATTGGATGTCTAACATAGTGATGGTCTGTTGGAGGACAGAGGTCACCTTCCAGGTGGGTCTTGAGGCCCACCATCACTCTCATTTCCTCCCTGCCTTGAGAGTGTCCAGCCCTGTGTGACTCAAACCCTTGGGCAGTGTCCTTGGCTCTCCTGAGCGTGACCCTGAAGCTTCCCAGCCCAAGTCCGCCCTGCAATGAACTCTCCTTCCTGTAACCACCCTTGGCCCAAGGTCTATGAGCCTCCTGTGGTCCTGGGCTCTCCTCTTGCTGAAGAAGCAGCTGATCGCTGTGCCTGGTTTCTCCCAAGCCCTGGGTGTCTGTCAGAGGTGATTCTGGGGAGAGGGATGCCTGGCACAGGGGGTGGGGACACCACCACTGACAGGCTCTGAGCTTGCTCGAGGAATGCTGAATTGTAAATATCCCCTCCCAATCTGGCCTTGGTGCTAGCTTGAGACACGGCCCTTGCTCCTGAGCTTGCCAGTGACTGAGCCAGCTCCATGGGACTCCTGGGGCCAACCCAGGGTGAAGTATGAGTCTATGGCAGCTCTTAGGAACAAGCCAGGCTGTCCTTTACTTATGGCCTCAGCAGTGTGTCCCCAGAAGTCTTGCTAACCCTCCCCATGCTGGGCCTGGCAGAATTCAGTGGTTAAAAGCTGGGACTCTGTACCTCAGTTTCCCCTTCTGTGAAATGGAGACAACACCATACCTGGTGGTGTTAGGATTCAATTATGAAAATGCATAAGCACAGAATCTGGTGCATACTTAATGCTTTCTAAATGAGACGGCGACTGCCTCTCCCCTACCTACCTGCCAACAAATGTCCCAGCCAGAAGCAGCCTTGGGAAGATAGGAAATATCTCCATTTGCAAATGCTTTGGCTGATCTACAAGGTGTGTAAATCTAGGGCCCTAAAGTAATTTCTCCTAGCAAATTTGTCAAGAGCTTCCCCATTCCCTTTTGGGATCCTGCTCTCCTCCCTCCTCTCTGTGAACCCCATCCCCACTGACCTGCACATGCTGGACTTCCGGGAGCTGGAACTGCTGGGTGATGAGGGGGGGGTCTGGTAGGACCAGCTGTAGTCTGAACCCTTCAGGTCTTTGATCACCTGGACAAGGATACACATGGGGGTTACTGCAAAAAGCCTGAGAGCTTATAGAGCCAGAGGCCCCCCATTCTTGTCTCAATTGTGAGCCACACCCCAGGAGAAGACCTGGGAGTCTGAAGCCCCCTCCCCAGCTTTCTCCTAATGTGGGGAGTAGGGAAAAATGTGGCAACAGTCATCCTTCTCTGAGCCCCTTCAGCTCACACACACTGAGCATAGATTGAGTCTAGCCTGGGCAAGGTGAGAATGACCATGACACCATGGGGTTCGGTTCAAATTGTTCCTGTACCCCTGTGAGTTTCAGTTTTCTCCTGTGAATTGGGGCCAACTGCCTCTATCTGAAAGCACTTTTGGGAGGATTCAATGAGATGACCTGGGAATGTGCTTAGTGGAGTGTGGGGCATGCAGTAAGTGCCTAAGCAGTGTAATGCTCCATGGACTGTCAGGTAGGATTGGTCCAAGTGCAGTGGGAGCTGGGTGGGGGGTGAGGAGGGCAGGTGTGCCTGGGTCTCAAGGTGTGACAGGGTTTCTTGGTGTGAATGGGAGCCAGGAATCTCTGGTGGGGGAAGAGAGCCTTGAAAGGGGCAGACTCAGGGTTCCCCCAAGGATCTAAGACTTTGGCCATGTGCTCTCAATCTGAAACCCATGTTGGGTCTGGGCAGATCACCTTGTCACCAGGAACAGGTGCTCCTGGACATCCAAAGTGGCTGTTGGAAGGCATCTGGTCTTCTACCCCCAGCTGCCTCCTCCAATGCTATCCCCTTCTTTCCTCTGCTGTCCCCAACCAAAGCAGCCCATCTCCTCCCCACCTTTGGGCCTTGGCCCCAGGGCCATTCGCACCTGCTCGCTGGCGGGAGGCAGCTTGTGGGGCTCTGCGGTCAGTACCACCAGGTCATCGATGATGCCCTGCAGGTGGGTGATCTCTCCCAGCATGGTCAGCTCTCCATTCTGAGAAGGCAGCAGCCAGTCAGACTCACTGCCCACCCCTCCTGCCTCCCTGCTAATCCAGGCTGCTGTGGGTGGGCAGAGGCAGGGCCCTGTGCAGACCCAATGGTTGGCGCTGCCACCAGTCTGTCCAGACCCACTTGGGCACAGTGAGCTACGAGCACTGTCTCTGGGTCAGAAGCACAAGGCCCTGACATGCCAGCCAGGCCTCAGTGAGGGGTGGCCTTCCTTGGAGGTCAAGAGGTCAACCCTAGACTCAGCCCAACCCGCTGGGGCCTCTGAGTCACCAGGAGACCCACCACCACAGGCTGCAGGAAGGTGATGAATGTGCAGAAGCGGCCTCGCTCCTCAATCAGTGCCCGGCGCACTGCCTGCTTCTCCGTCTCCTCCAGCAGAAGGTACATGTCATTGACATCTTGCAGGGCACTGTCCAGCTGGGGCTGCAGGTCTCCTTTCCCTGGGGGAGTTGGGAGGAGAGGCCATGCTGGGGATGCTGGCCCTGCTCACTGCACCCATGGCTCAGGCCCCCTTGGTGGTGCCCCTGGCCATGGGGCTGGGTGCTGCCACAGGCCACGGGTCTGGGGAAGGCAGTCAGGACTCTGGGACTCATGGAGGGGCTGGTCCTACCAGAGCAGGTGAAGAAGACACACACACGCACAGGAAAGACACCAAAGCTGCAAAGCCACCCAGGACCTAGGGTGGGCTGAGCCTTGGGCAGCCCCAGGGTGGCTCTTGGAAGCCCAAAAACTCTGTGGACCCCTCAGGCACTCTCACTATCTGTGGCATAGAGCCCCTCACCTCATAGTCCAGGGAGGTGGGGTAGAAGCAGAACAGAGCAGAGCATGGGGCTCAGTTATAGGCTAGGCCACCGGAGGGTAGGGTCAGGAGAGCTAGGGGCTGGTAGTTGGGGACAGGGCCAGGGCGTCTTGGTGTGGGCCCCTGCTCAGCTCAGAAGCAATGCACAAGGACAACAGCAACACAAAAAAGCAGTGAGAAAGAGAGAGGTGAGAGGATGGCTTAGAGGAGAAGATGAGATGGCAAGTGGGGAGGTGATGGGCAAGGTCACAGGGCTGGCCCAGTGGGGGCGGGGCAGCCAGGGCCTATGCCCCCCACCCTACCCCTGCCGCCCCTCCTGGCCTGGCAGACTGACCCAGCAGTAGCCCCAGCCTCATCCCTGGCCAGGGGCCCCAGGGGAACTGTGCCCCAGGCCCCTCCCTCGGTGGACCAACCGCCTTCCTCGCTCTTCCTTGGCCTGGAGAGGGTCCTTCCAATGGCCCTGAGCTGGGGGAGACAGACAAATGCAACAAGGACGGGAGGAGTAGGTGGAGGGATGGACATTTGACTTACCAAGTAGCTCTACAGGAAGGATGTGGGAGGAGAGGAGGAGAGACAGAGAAAGAAAGAATGTGTGAAGGACAGCCGGATGGACAGCGCCACTCCTGGGGGCCTGCCTGCGCCTCTCGGGCCACCTGCTGCCTCCCCAAGGGAGGTCCTGGGCCAGTCTGGGGTACAGGGGGCCACCCTCTGTCCCACCCAAGATTGGAGGGGCCTGGGCTGGGGAGTGAGCCCCTGTGTCTTGGAAGATGCCTGGGTGACCCAAAGGGCTGTGAGGGGGCTATGGTGGGGGCCCTGTGGGGCTGTGACCGGGTGACAGCTGTTGCCTCTACCTTTGCGTGCCTTCTTCTGCAGCTTCAGCGTGTCTGAGGACTTCTTCTTGATCTCATGCCGAGCCCGTTTGTACTCTGATCAGAGGGGGAGACGGGAGTGCTACAATCAGGGAGGGTTCCCAGAGCAGCCAGGGGGAGAAGGAAGCCCAGTGAGGGCCCTGCCCACCTTTTGCGTGGTCCTTGTCTAGCTGGTTGGCCGACTTCTTCCAGTCCTCGATGCGCTCCTGCAGGGGGTTGATGAGGCTCTCCAGCAGTGCGCTGCGGGCGGGCAGGAGAGTGGGTCAGGCCCGCCAGGGGGTGCCCCACGACCGCCCCCGCCTTCCGCCCGCCCACTCACTTGGTGAACTGCCGCAGCTTGGTCTCGATGCTGCGGTGGCGCATGCACATGCGCGTGAGCGCCGAGCCGATGTCCCGTGTGGCCCCTGGCGAGGCAAGCGTGCGGCTTGGGAAGGGGCCCATCCGGGCCTCCGCAGTCCCATCTCGGGCCACTAGGGGGCGCCTGGCTCGCGAAGGCCAAACAGGGATCCTGCTGGACCCGGCGTGGGGAGCTTGATTCTTAGTCTTTTTTGAGCTACTCATAGATGTCAGAGCCCTGGTCATCCTGGCTACGCCAGTCTCCTGTGGCTGCGGTACCCTGCTGTGCAGGCCAGGAACCTCCCCTCTCTCCTACCTCGGAGAGGCCAGCGCCAACAACTATCCAAGCAGTGACCACCAAAATTCCCCTCCAGCCCTACCAGGAACCTCCTCCAGGGGTGCCCAGATGCAGGCGTGAGAGTGCAAGTACACGCCCAAGGATGGGAAGGAATAGGAGTCCCAGGTCTCTGCTACTCTGACCAGAAGGCAGTGGAGACGCCATGCCCAACAGAGCAATGGAGCGCTCACCTGGCCCCATATGCTCTCAGAAGGGCATAGAAGGGTGCCAGGAAACCATAATCAGGCTCATCGTTTGGAAGCGTGAATGAACTGCAGCTGAGGGGTCAAGTGAGCTGCCCACGGCAAGAAGGGAATCCCTCTGTGCGTCATGTCACCACACCCACTCCTGCTTGCATGCCTCTTGTGAGGGGGGCTCACTCTCTCCACAACCAGCCCATTCCATAGGGGAGCAGACTCTGGGCCTGGCTCCTCTCCCTGGCCCATACCCTATGCAGACTTTCCAGGTCCCAAGCCCACCCTAGGTGTCTCCAACTCCCAGCCCCGCCCCTCCCCACCTCTGGTGTTAGTAGCCATGTCAGCCACTTTCTGGAAGGCATCCAAGAAGGCCACAGCAGCCAGCACAGTAGTCCTAAGGAGAAGGACAGTGGTGTGGGTCATCAGTAGGTAGGATGTCCCCTCATCTTTCATGTGCCCCTTCCCAGCTGGGGTACCCCCGAAGCCTCACCTCAGCTGGGAATGTAGCTTTGTGGCCTTGGAGTTGAAGTCCTCCCAGATGGGGTAGGAGCTCTGCTGGGCAGATGGGAGAGGAGATGCAGTGAGCCCTGTGGGGCTGCACTGTTCTCCCTGAGCCGTGTTCCCCCACATGCCTCATCCAGACTCTGGGCAGTTTCTGGGAGAGTGGCCCTGTCCCCACAGAGGAGGAGGCTTTTAGCCCTCTGGAGGACAGAAGACTGAGGACAGAGCCACCAGGCATGAGCAAGGCCATGGCTGGGAATGGGAGCCTCTGCAGACAGCTGGGAAGTCTGTCCTACTGTCTATAGTGGGCAACCATTTCGGCCTACATCCCTTAGGGACATGGAAGCAGTCACTGGTAGGTTCCATCTCCTTAGGGTTTCCCAGGGGCCTGTCAGGGAATGTGGGAGAGCCCTGTGAGGGCACAATGTTTTCAGAACACACTTGGGATAGTGGGTGTTTACCTGCCCACCTGGCTTGGAGATTGAGGTGCAGTGTGGAGGGCAGGCTGGCAAGGTGTGAGGCATTATCAGGTCTAAACTGGGGCTTCCAGGGGCCCTGTCCTGTACTGTGGAAGTTGCAGCTGGCAGGCTGGCCATCCAAGGCCAGTAGCAGTGGCTCCCTGGCCCGGGTAGGCCATGGCTGCTGCAGGGCCAGGCCAGCCAGCCCGGGACAACCAGGCCTCAGCTGAATGGGGCCTTGTGCGGCCAACAGAGCCACCTTTCTCCACCCCCTTGTGCCCCTCCCCTCCTGGGAAACAGTGTGGCCTTTATCCCAGCCTGGCCCAAGGCTCAAGTTGGGAGGGGGTTTCCCAGTAGGGAGGTCGGGCTCTTGGAGACCAAGTTGTCTAGTCTGATGAAGGGGCTTTTCTGGCTAATGCACTTTCTCCATGGCTGCAGGCTCCTGGAGAAACCTCAGCCCTGGCCCAAGGGCCCTGTGGTAGCTTCAATCCTTGAAGGGCCCCAAGAAGGGCCTGCAAAGCCCCAATATGAAGAGGCTTCTGACCTTCCCCTTCATGTAAGATGGTGCACCTCAGGCTGGGGCATTTACGAGGAAGGGGATGGCAGAGACCTAGCTCCCAAGGCCTCAGAGGGGGATCTGCCCAGCTGGAACCCCAGGGTGGGCTCTGGCTGGCTTCTCCAGGTGAGGAGAGAGTTTGCAGGGGTGGTGAGATAAGTGGCCACACCAAGTCTCAGAACCTCTCTCCCCGCCCAGCCAGACCAGTGTCCAGTGAAAGCAAATATTTGAGAATCCAGAGACTGGAGTAAGAAGGGGAGACTGTGGGTGGGCTCAGGGTAGAAGGGACTGGGAGGCTATCTCTGGCAGTCCCGAGGAGCTGACGTATGCCTGGGACACCTCAGGGCTTTTATGAAAGGAGGCATCCTCCTACCACTTAGACCCTCCCCTCAGTCTGGATGCCTTGAGGAGACCTCCCTCCAAGGGGCAGAGAAGATGCTAGGGGTGTGGAGCTTCAGAGCCAGCTGTCCTGGCGCCTAGGAAATCTTCTTAGTCCCCTCAGCAGCCCTGGGGCATTTTTAGAGATTAAAGCCTCTCCAGTAGGTAGGGGACAAGATGGGGCATGGGGGAGGCCAAGCCCGGTTTCCCTTTGGCAGATGGATCTGGGATTCCACCTCTTTCCCCGTGTAATCCATGCAGAACCCCAGAAACAGGGAGTTGAGGGGCCAGAGCAGCCAGTGCCCTAGCAAGTGTCCTCAGCCTTCACCTGGTCCAAGAGAAGAATGCTAATTTTGCTTCCATTTTACAGATGAGGAAACTGAGGCCCACACAGATTAGCTGACTTGTCCAAGGCCACAGGGTGGCAGGGTGAGGATATGATTCTGTGTCTCCTTGGTCACTGTACTTCAGGTAGAGGGATCCCCTGACAAACAGGACAATAAGCACCTGAGCCTCAAAGCTGGGGAGGTGGGAGGGATTTCAGGGAGGGGGACAGCTAGCTTTGCCCCAAGCGGTGGCTGCTCTGGAAGCTTCACAAGGTGGGGGCTTGTCATTAGAGGTGCCCAAATGGATAGGAAATGAGATTGGGGGGGGGCATCTCCTTAGTCTGGCAGTGGACATGGGATGCAGGTGAGCAGCCCATGGAAAGATCCCAGAGAGGGAGCTTTCCAGGTGGCCCTGGGCCAGGGCTCCCCTAGCCTGATTCTGCACAGGACTGGACCTACCTCCTGGGATCAGTGTGGGGACTCAAGGAGGCTGTGTGGAGGGTGACCAGCATAGGCCCGTGCACGGTAAGCACCCACGGTAATGCTGGCTGAAGAAGAGGATACATGCCCTGCCCCTTGGCCAGGAGCCCTCAGCAGAGGCCTGGCCAGGGCCCATGTGTCCAGGTGACACCCCTCACTCTTGGGGGGGGGTAGGCAAAGATGATGACCCCATTTTCTAGATGGGCCAGTGCTGGGTGGAGGTGCCAGTCCCTCTGCTGAAGGTCTGTGCCTAAGCCTATTCCTGTGGGCAGGTCCTTGGCCCCACTGGCCCTTCCTGGGCTTCAGTAGGCAGCCTGACACTAGCGGGCATTTGGCCTGGTCTTTTTGAGGCACAGAAGGCAGTGAAAGCTCCTGAAGGCCTCCCCATTCCAAAGCTGGTGCCCTCCTCCAGGCCGTCTAGGCTCCAGGCATAGTTTGGGGAGCTCCTCTCCCCTTCTATACCCCTCAAGCCCAGGGTCAGAGCCTTCCAGAGGCCCCAGTGAGGGCTGTTGTTGGGCCTGTGCATGCACTTGTGGGGCAGCCTCTTCTTCCCTGGAACCCCTGCTACCTCTGCAGCTCAGGCTACGGAGGGCAACAGCCCCAAATCCAGGTGGTCAGCCTCCAGGTGGCCCAGTTCCTTCCTCTGCCCTGAGCCAGGGCCCCTGAACACATGCATGGTAGGGACATACTCATACTTGGCATGAACCCAGGTGAAACCTCTCCCATTTTGCTTCCAAATGTCAAAAGATCCCACCTGATGTCTAGCCTGAACCTTTTGCTACAATCTGGGCCAAATTTCCTTCTGTCTTATCCTAAAGTTCCTTCCAAACTGGCAGGAGACAGAGGACAATCCTGGTCCTCTTCTCTAAACAAAAGCTGCTGCTCTTTGCAGTGGTTGCTGCAAGGCTGGGGTTGAGGGGGAAGCGCCCCCTCAGTCAGCCCTAGCAGTGGTTGGTGGGGGAGGGTGGTCTGGGCTGCCCAGCCCCAGAATGGGACCCTATATGGCCAGGGCTGTGAGGCCCACAAGGCAGGTGGGGCTGCTGAGGGCCAGTTGAAGGGACCTGCAGGTAGAGGTAGACACAGCTGCAAGGGATGGAGGTCCCCTGGGGAGGGTGCCAGGCCAGGCCAGCTTTAGGCCTTTTCCTGGGGGGCAGGGATCTGGCACTTGCCCCTGTGGTTGTTCCCCTGGCAGCCTGGGAGCCCCGACCTCACAAGGGCCTGTCCTAGCACTGTGGTGTGTGGTGTCCCTGGCCTCCCAGTGGGATTCTGTGTTGTATACTTGGTGAGTGTGTGCTGGGCTGGTAGAGGGGTATACTCAGGAGTTTCTGTGGGGAGCACCGTCCCAGTTCTGTCCCTTGCTCCTCCTGGCCCTTCCATCCTTCCCCTTTATTCTAGGAAAGGGGCAGAAGAGACAGGTGGGAACACCAGGTCCCAGCCCCTCCACCTTCTCATTGGAGCTGAGTTTTTTCTACCTAGCCAGCTGGGGCAGCTCTGCCAAAGCTTGCCTTCTTTAGGGGAGAGAGTCCCCCTAAGCTAATGAGGGCTGAGGTCAGGAGCAGACTCTAATAGTCTCCTTAATGACCTTGAGCCATCTCCAGGCCTCAGTTTCCCCACCTGGTGGGGTAAGCCAGGAATGAGAGGCCTGCTGCAGCCTGACCTTGGGGAGCGGGGCCTGGGCTGGGAATGGTGTGGGAAAAATGTTCCCTTGGGGTTGTTCCACTAACCCAAGCTTTATCCTGCCCCCTCCCAAGGTGATGGTAAAGGCGTTATCCTTGGATGCAGGGAAATCGGCCTGGAGACCTTGACATCCAGAGCTTCCTGGGGCTTGTGGGGGGGGGGCGGGGCGGGGCGGGGCTGGGGGCGGCAGTCGCAGGGTTAGGCTCAGAGGCCTCTGGCTGGGAAGGAGTTAACGGTTCTCCGCTTTATTATTTTTTCCTGCTTTGGCGGTGACAGCATTGTCTGGGCTCCAGGCCGTCGGGGAAGGGGTGTCGGGGGGCATGGTGGTGGTAGGGGGCGGGGGGCTGGTGAGACCCTTCAAGGGTTGGAGCCAAGCCCCACTCACGGTCTGGGGGTCTGGGGCACAAGGAGCCCGCGTGTGCGCAGGCTCGGGTCGGGACCCCAAGGGGCGACCCTGGGTACCGCGCGGACACCCCGACACACGGGCACCCACACCCCCAGAGGAGCACCCGGAGATACGGGCGCACAGACGCAGGCAGTACACGTTTAGACAAGGACACACAGACACCGCGGGGCGCCGCCACAGCAGGGCACGGCTACCCGCCGCCACGCGCCCCGGAGGGGACACGCACCCGAAACGCGCGCCCGACCCCGCCGCGCCCCGGTTACCTTCATGTCGTTGACTATGGCCTGGAAGAGCCCGCCCAGGGCGCCGCACTCCTTCTCCGCTGTCTCCATGCTCGGGCCGGGAGGCGGCAGCGGCGGCG